CTCATTAATCTCAGTGGTAAAATAACATGTGGCGCAGAACTAAAAAAGGTCTTGTTATGACTCTCAAATCATTAATGACAAAACAAAGACTAAAACGAGGATTTATATCGGGATGCCTTTGAACAATTGAGACAGCTGATAAAAGTTCACGTGTGATGCAGAATTTTATAGTTTGACTCCGTTCTTCACAGTATCTTTACTCGTGTGAATCGGTGGTCTAGTGGTCTAAGGCTATATCCACACGAAGACAAAACGCTTATAATTTCAGAAACTTTTTCTGTAAACACGGAGTTAGCTCAGTAAATGTGTGCGTCCATATGAATGTAGTCAATACGCCTGAAAACGCTGTGAAACTATGCCAGACCTGTTGGTGGCGCTGTGACGCAATGACGGGATCAAGCCCAAACTTCCGTGGGCATGCGCGGAATTTTGTAAACAGACAACATGGCGAGTGGGCGAGCTGGTACTACATTAGTATGGGCGGACGATGAGGTTGAACTGTTGCTTCGGGTCACACTGGATTACAAAACCAACAAGCTACATTGTTGTTGTCATTATTTTCTGAGTGCGGCGCATGCGTGCTTTAACAAGAGGCGGGGCGATGACGCAAGCGTCTCAGATACATTGCGGAGAGGCAGTAACCACGGAGCGGCATATACGGAGTTTTGAAATCTTTCCACTCTGGGACCTAGTTTCAAAAATGTTCGTTTACACCCCCCCAAAACGCCGGCCTCGTATGGACGATACACTGGATTGATAAAGTATTTTTGCGTTTAGGCCTGAGCTTGACTTCGTGTGGACAGGGCCTAAACTGTGTGCTTACGATGCAGGAACCCGGGTTCGATCCCGGGCCATGTCTTTTTGTATTTATTGCATGTTATCACATTCTATGACAGATCGCTCTAAAAACGGTAAAAGATGAAGGTCAAGACGTTTTTTTGCAGATTATAGCTTAATTGTAAAAATAATCATTTAAGACCACATGTACCCCAATTAAAATAATGTTAGTCTCTTTTTGATGTGGGACTTTTACATGTTTGTCTAAAAAATAGGGAATAAATAAAATTGAAAGGTGATATCCTCTTGAGCAAACCCTGATGTTGATACGCTGAAGAAATACGTTCCAACATCCATTCTTCCCACTCCTATTTTGGACATCAATTGCTTATTTATTTTGCATAAACTATGTATAATTACATTGCTTTTATTTTGTTTTTGTTTTTTATCTCAAATGTCCAAATAATAATAATAAAAAAATTATTAATCAAAACATTCATTCAGCATTAGCACGGCTGTCATGGCAATGCGAATGGAGACGGACAAACAACTGATAAAATAATTCCCTGTGTTTGCTGCTGGATTTGGTGTGAATCTGGCAACCTGAGTCAGGGAGAGTGGGAGAGGACTACAAAATATTGACTGTGACTGCAGTACCACTTTTGGCCAGATTTTTACATATTGCTCCTTTAAGGACATATTAAACTTTTTGACATGCGCAAACTGAACTTCCGGACAAATCCGGTTTCCGGGACGAATACGGGAGTGACAGTGCTCAGTGGCGCTTTGTGACGGCATGGGGGCTGAAAGATTAGCGGAAGTTGCCTGAAACTCGCAAAGATCTATGGGAAACTCGCAAAGATCTATGGGAAACTCGCCTGTATTTGGGCATCGTCTGGTCCTCCCGGTTCTGTGCAGTGGATGATCTCCCATAATGCGTTGTGTCAAACACGCGTGTGTGGGTCTCACACCAGGTCTCACGCACGTGCACAGAGAGGCTCGGCCGCGCTCTGACCAATCAGAGCAGTTCATCAGAGCGGGAGTTAGAGCGAGAGCCAGAGGAGCAGAGTTTGTGGCACTAAAGTGTGGATTTAAACAAAACCGAAGGATTTAAGAAGAAAAAAAGTTCAGGATGACAAGGGACACTAAAATCCCCACAAAATCCAACCTTTATGAAAGCTGTAGGTTCCCTGTCAGCTGAGGTTGAGCTGTTTTAATATGCATTGAGTTCTATGGGGACAATTTCTGGGTAGCCCGCGTGAATTTAGTCTGGTTCAGTCTGCAGTACCGCGAGAATCCCCTGAGCACATGAGTTATTCAGCTACAAGCTAAAACCATGTATTGGGAATAGAGAAACTCTGCTGTAATCCCCGTTGCCTGCTGCTGCTACAGTCACAAGATGGCCACCGCAGTGTCCATGGTGACAACATCCCTCTAGACTCACATCAGCGCGCATGCGCCACTGAACTAGCTTTATCACGGTTATCACAGAAAATCTTCAGTTGCGCACGAGGAGCTCCAGAAACAATTAAGGATTCTACATGAGCCACAAGCACGAAGGGAGCCACAGGAGCTAACAGGAGAGAGCTAACAGGAGGGAGCTAACCCGAGGGCGCTGAGAACTAAACATTCTAACTTTAGAGACTATTCATGTTTTAACAGCTGGAGGATTAGCCACGAGAGGCTAACGGAAGCTAACGCGGACGAGAAGAGCTAACAAGAGCTAACAAGAGCTAACTCAGTGGAACATGGCTGAAGTGAAACTGGAGGAAAACTCTGAGCTCATGGACATAAAGGAGGAGACACAGGACTTTGTGGAAGAAAACTCTGAACTTAGAGACATAAAGGAGGAGAGACAGGACTTTGTGGAGGAAAACTCTGAACTTAGAGACATAAAGAAGGAGAGACAGGACTTTGTGGAGGAAAACTCTGAATTTAGAGACATAAAGAAGGAGACACAGGACTTTGTGGAGGAAAACTCTGAACTTAGAGACATAAAGGAGGAGACACAGGACTTTGTGGAGGAAAACTCTGAGCCCATGGACATAAAGGAGGAGACACAGGACTTTGTGGAGGAAAACTCTGAACTTAGAGACATAAAGGAGGAGACGCAGGACTTTGTGGAGGAAAACTCTGAGCCCATGGACATAAAGGAGGAGACGCAGGACTCTGTGTAAGACACACACACACACACATAACATTTATCACACACAAACTCTCATTAAACTCGCCTTTACCTTCAGACCCTCACCAGCTCCTCTCACTACTAGGGCTTGGCGATATGGAGAAGAAAAAAAATCGTTATATTTTCATATCTCTATATACGATATTTTTACAGGATAAATAACTTAACAACTACAGCCCAAAAAAAAAAAAACATCTTTTTTGAAATTGTACCTCAAAGAGGAAGTCTGTTCAAGTAGGGACAAAAGGGCTTCTATCACGTTTATTTTAATTTCCTGTTTTTTAAGAAATTACACGAAATGCCTTTTCTTCATTCAACAATACATTTACTCAATGTACATTAAGGAACAAAGTTTTTTTTCAACATTTAATATATTTAAAAAGCTCGATTACAATAATGGTAAGTAAAGTTGCGGCAGGCAGACATCAGTCAAATATTTCCGCGATGGCATATTGAAGCAGTGAACATGAGACTTGAACCCAGCACTTTCCACGATAGACGAGGGCTGGGGGCTATGGAGGACCAAAAATGACTAAAGTATAAATAAATAAATACAGGAATATATTAATAAATACATTCATTTTGGACAATAAAAACTAAATATTTACATTGATATGCTAAATATTACTCTGAAATCAAATAAATATACTTTTATTTAGGTTATTTATCAATATCTACATTTTTTCCTTTATTTATTTATCCATTTATTGCATATATTTATTTATGTATTTCTAAATTTCTTCATTTATTAATTATGTATTTCTGTGTCGCTACATTTCTTTATTTATTTATGTATTTCTACATTTCTTCATTTATTTATTTATGTATTTCTACATTTCTTCATTTATTTATTTGTGTATTTCTACATTTCTTCATTTATTTATTTATGTATTTTTGTGTTCCTGTATGCTAATTAGGTGGGCGGTGCTGAACTCAATCTAGAACAGGATTGGTTAGGATTGCGTGAACTCTGGTCTCGATCATTACTGCCTCACATTACGGCCTCACATTACGGTACTCTGTTAGCTAGCTAGAGATCCTCTGTGCACTTTTGTGTGGTATGATGGCAGTTTCGAATGTAAGTTTTTTAGGAGCCATGAGGAACCTGAGGACTATCTACTCTTTCGGCTGGAAAGACTATTAGATGTTTTGGTTCATCACAGTGCTGACCCAGAGGTAGACTTTGCAACTGTGCTGGACGCTCTTCAACAAGCTATACAGCAGCTTCACATCCTCTCACAAACCGAGAAGGCTAACTTTGGCCGTAAATCCTATTTTTTACCTCCATGTATGATTGAAGCTCACCTTCTTTTGGGTCACACCGTTGGTGACATTGCTCAGTTGTTTGGAGTGTGCGAAAGAACAATTCATTGGAGGATGTCACAGTATGGAATAAGGTAATGTATACCTTTCTCGTGTGTGGCTGACCTACTGCCCACCAATCCAGCTATTGATTGAGTTCAGCACCGCCCGCCCTATTAGCATACGGCAACACAGAAATACATAAATGAAGAAATGTAGAAATACATAAATAAATAAATGAAGAAATGTAGCGACACAGAAATACATAAATAAATAAATGAAAAAATGTAGAAACACAAATAATAAATATATGCAATAAATGGATAAATAAAGGAAAAAATGTAGATATTGATAAATAACCTAAATAAAAGTATATTTATTTGATTTCATAGTAATATTTAACATATCAATGTAAATATTTAGTTTTTATTGTCCAAAATGAATGTATTTATTAATATATTCCTGTATTTATTTATTTATTTATACTTTAGTCATTTTTGGTCCTCCATAGGGGGCACAGGGAAATACATTTCATAACTTTCGTGCACATTTCGTGTTGTTTCTCACGTCATTACTGTATGGTTGTTGCCGCTGTAGAATTTCCGTAACTGAAAGCTGCATGAGTTGCTTGTTTACGCAGTTTTGACGAGAGAAAGTAACTTGTGCGCATGAATCTGATACGGTCTTTTTGATCGGCACATTTCACCGGTCACCGATCACGCATATTAAGCCGTGAATGGCCGATAATAACCGATCGATCGGTGCACCTCTACTTCAGACCCTCACCATCTCCTCTCACAACTGTCTCCTTTACCTTCAGACCCTCACCATCTCCTCTCACAACTGTCTCCTTTACCCTCAGACCCTCACCAGCTCCTCTCACAACTGTCTCCTTTACCTTCAGACCCTCACCAGCTCCTCTCACTCCTGTCTCCTTTACTTTCAGACCCTCACCAGCTCCTCTCACTACTGTCTCCTTTACCTTCAGACCCTCACCATCTCCTCTCACTGTCTCCTTTACCATCAGACCCTCACCAGCTCCTCTCACTACTGTCTCCTTTACCATCAGACCCTCACCATCTCCTCTCACTGTCTCCTTTACCATCAGACCCTCACCAGCTCCTCTCACTACTGTCTCCTTTACCATCAGACCCTCACCAGCTCCTCTCACTGTCTCCTTTACCATCAGACCCTCACCATCTCCTCTCACTACTGTCTCCTTTACCATCAGACCCTCACCATCTCCTCTCACAACTGTCTCCTTTACCTTCAGACCCTCACCAGCTCCTCTCACTACTGTCTCCTTTACCTTCAGACCCTCACCAGCTCCTCTCACTACTGTCTCCTTTACCATCAGACCCTCACCAGCTCCTCTCACTACTGTCTCCTTTACTTTCAGACCCTCACCAGCTCCTCTCACTACTGTCTCCTTTACCTTCAGACCCTCACCAGCTCCTCTCACTACTGTCTCCTTTACCATCAGACCCTCACCATCTCCTCTCACTGTCTCCTTTACCATCAGACCCTCACCAGCTCCTCTCACTACTGTCTCCTTTACCATCAGACCCTCACCATCTCCTCTCACTGTCTCCTTTACCATCAGACCCTCACCATCTCCTCTCACTACTGTCTCCTTTACCATCAGACCCTCACCATCTCCTCTCACTACTGTCTCCTTTACCTTCAGACCCTCACCAGCTCCTCTCACTACTGTCTCCTTTACCTTCAGACCCTCACCAGCTCCTCTCACTACTGTCTCCTTTACCTTCAGACCCTCACCAGCTCCTCTCACTACTGTCTCCTTTACTTTCAGACCCTCACCAGCTCCTCTCACTACTGTCTCCTTTACCTTCAGACCCTCACCAGCTCCTCTCACTACTGTCTCCTTTACCTTCAGACCCTCACCAGCTCCTCTCACTACTGTCTCCTTTACTTTCAGACCCTCACCAGCTCCTCTCACTACTGTCTCCTTTACCATCAGACCCTCACCATCTCCTCTCACTGTCTCCTTTACCATCAGACCCTCACCATCTCCTCTCACTACTGTCTCCTTTACCATCAGACCCTCACCATCTCCTCTCACTGTCTCCTTTACCATCAGACCCTCACCATCTCCTCTCATTACTGTCTCCTTTACCCTCAGACCCTCACCATCTCCTCTCATTACTGTCTCCTTTACCCTCAGACCCTCACCATCTCTCACTACTGTCACCTCTAGCTACAGACCCTCTCCAGCTCCCTCCCCCCAGCAATATTTACCACCGCCTTGGCTTTCCTCTGCCCTTTGTCCACCACCACCTTGTGTGGATGGTTCTCCATTACCATCTTGTCTGTCTGTATCTGTAAGTCCCACAGGATTTATGGGACTATTTATCTTCTTCATGACATCTCGATTTTTAAAATATATTATGATTAAAACACTATAAAGTGATAGTCTGGAAAGAAGAGAGGTACATGATATGAAAAAAAACAAAACAACCCAAGCTCCCTCCCCCTTCCTTTCTGATGGGTACTTTTCCGTGCACGCGCCAGAGGAGAGATGATTCATTATATTTGAATTTTGAATCGTAATTTAGTATCCTCACAGCAGCAGTAAAACGCTCCATTGATTCGAATGTAATGTCACAAAGTTGTCATTTATTCTTTATCAGAACTCTCAAACCAGTAATGACCATTGCCCTTTGAGTGGCGTTTTTTCTGCAGCACGTGGTACTGCACCCTATTTTCCAAAATGTGACACTTTTCCTAATCAGATGGTGCTGGTTGTGTGTGCCCTAAAACACCAGGGGGGTGCTTTGTTTTTTTACACCTTTCCCCTCTCGCGGGTGTGAAAGAGAGCCCCCGCTGTGCAGCGTTTCTGAGGCTGAGTTTACACGGAGACAATGTGGCAGTAAAACGGTATAGTTGGATGTCGGTTGCTACCAACCGTTCATACGAAGACTGTGTTCCAGGGGGGTGAAAACGTAAGTGTTCAGATCCAGCCTGCAGAGTGGGACAACTCAGAAACGCTGCACAGCGGGGGCTCTTTCACACCCGCTCTGACCCCCACCTCCGCGCTGCTCCCCGCACGTAAATTTGGACATGCGCAGTAGCGGAGAACAAACAAAAACAATAATGGCGCCGCGCACACTAACTAGCTACGTGGGCTTCCAGCGCGGGACAGAGGATAATTCTACTCCTTCGTTCGTCCAAACGAGACCACGCGAAGCTCTAGGTTCAGTTTCCATTTTCACAGCTGCTGTTAAAATGCAGAATGATGTTGTACTCTCTGAGGGTCTGGTACAGGAAGTGAGTACACTGCCGAGAGGGGGGCTGGGCACGGGGCTGGGGGTCGTGTGAGTGTTGTAAAGTTTCTCTGCCCACTACTGGCCGGGCGCTAGAACTACATCGTTTTTCAACCTCATGTGAACGCAGAGAAATTTGCATTCGGAGCCAGGTCGTTTCTGTTAATAGCCTGGAAACGTCTGCGCAGCGTCTCAGTATAAACAGGGCCTGAGTTGTCCCACTCTGCAGGCTGGATCTGAACACTTCCGTTTTCACCCCCCTGGAACACAGTCTTCGTATGAACGGTTGGTAGCAACCGACATCCAACTATAGCGTTTTACTGCCACATTGTCTCCGTGTAAACTCAGCCTCAGTATAAACAGGGTTTAAAGCACAGCATGGGGTTCACCTGGAGCAAAAGGGACGCAGGGGATTTACAGAGAAGATCAATGGGAGATATTTATTATTGAATAGAGCTGTGTGATCTGACAACGAGTCACAGGATTTCTGCCAACCTTCATCATGAGACAGAGAGGGTCATTGGTTGTGTGTGAGACATCTAGAGCTCTGTAATCAGTGTGTTTTTTGTCACCTCCAGTGTGGGGGCAGACTTGTGATCAATGCCTTCATTTTGTTTTTTTACAAGGCCGAGTAACCCAAGCACGCGGGTGGTTTCTCCTATATGGACAAGCCCTCCGCTTACAGAGAGAGAGATCTACACACTGAAACCAATCAAAATGGCTAAAACGGGTAAGTTATTTATATTCTATTTTAAATTGCCACTTTTAAACTGCCACTTTTTTATGTACATAAGTAGATATAAGGGACACCTCTATTGAGCAAGTGGTGAAAAGGTGGTACTTTGAATTTGGGCGGCACGGTGGCTTAGTGGATAGCACTCTCGCCTGTCAGCAAGAAGGTTCGAATCCTGGTCGGACCAGGGCCTTTCTGAGTGGAGTTTGCATGTTCTCCCTGTGTCTGCGTAGGTTTCCTCCGGGTACTCCGGTTTCCCCTACCACTAAAAATATGTACAATAGGTCTGGAAAGCGCCTCTTCGGCGCCCCTGCTCCCATCTCTGTGTGGAGTGAGAGGACAAGTGCCCAAAAATAACAATTGTAAACCACTTTGTGACTCTGGTCTGTGAAAGGCGGTATATAAATAAAGATTGATTACTTACTTACTTACTTACTTGAATACCTAATGAGTTGTCCTCTGGTTGACCCTGCGTGTGAGCTAAAACAATGGGTGCTTCACTGTTTAACATCTAAGGAGTACTGTAAGTGATTCACTGAAGCATAGAGACTGGTATCTCAAGATATTGTATTATTTAATAGAGCTCTGTGTAAGATCAGAGAGCTCTGTATTCAGTTTTTTTTTTTTTATCGCCTCCTCCTGGCACCTCCTACTATGGAGCGCCGCGCCTCTAAGAAGTTTTCATGTGGGAAAAGGGGTGACAGCAACCCACGTGAAGGGTTACACTTACGGACCCTTAGGCTGTTTAAAGTAGTACTAGAATTTGATATGCTGCTATCCAGAATATATAACTACAATATGTGTTTATAATATTTCGGGTGTTCATTTTGACATGTTCAGATGAATTCCCACCTCTGCACCTTCTCCACCGACTCCCACTGATGACTGCTGTCGTTGTGTCCTTGGGCAAGACACTTAACCCCACTTTGCCCAAAGCCCCCACTGAAAGATCAAGGCTATGCTCACACTCAGAGAGCAGCCGTCCTCCTGTGGACTCACCACCTGCAGAGGATCAGTGAGGGGCTGGTGCTATGAGACTTGGGTGGCATCTCTGACTGCCACCCCCCTGACCCAGAAATGGATTAAAGGGTAGAAAATGGATGGATGGATAGATGAATTATGTTAAAAAAACTGCTTTGAAGTAGCACTTTTTCACTTCCGCATAGAAACGCTAGGGGGGGCCAAAATGGCGGCGATGACGTAGGAGAATGACCTCTCACAGCAGCAGCAGTCTTAGCTGGAACCTGTAGGAGGTTTCACTGTCATCTGAACAAGGTATAAACATATTTTCATCCGTTTTGTACATAATAGTGTGCAACTATTTTAACCTTTTTAGCCTTATTTGTGAGATTCAAGCTAATTAGTGTTGGGCAAGTTAGCTAACTACTTGATATCATAAAACATGCTAACAAGGCTAATATTCGTTTTCACATTATGCCAGTCTCACTTTGGTTGCCTTAGATTTATTCACCACAATGTACATTGTAATATTAAAAAATGCTAACACCTATTAACAGTTTACATGTGATGCAATCATTGATAAAAATGCGAATTAAACTGTTAATAGGTGTTAGCATTTTTTAATATTACAATGTACATTGTGGTAAATAAATCTAAGGCAACCAAAGTGAGACTGGCATAATGTAAAAACGAATATTAGCCTTGTTAGCATGTTTTATGATATCAAGTAGAGTTAGCTAACTTGCCCAACACTATTAGCTTGAATCTCACAAATAAGGCTAAAAGGTTCAAAGAGTTGCGCACTATTATGTAAAAAACTGATGAAAATATGTTTATACCTTGTTCAGATGACAGTGAAACCTCCTACAGATTCAGCCCAGACTGCTGCTGCTGCTGTGAGAGGTCCTTCTCCTACGTCATCGCCGCCATTTTGGCTCCCCCTAGCGTTTGTTAAAAGGTGCCACTTCAAAGCCGTTTTTTTAACATAATTCATCTGAACATGTCAAAATGAACACCCGAAATATTATAAACACATATTGTAGTTATATATTCTGGATAGCAGCATATTAAATTCTAGTACTACTTTAAAGGAGCAATATGTAATATTTGCATGTCAAGTCATCATTTAAATGACCCGAATATTTCAAAAGGCATTAATAAATCATGTTCTTTTCAAACACATCTTTAACTGATAACAGTAGTTCATCCGAGATATTTGATTATCAAAATTAGTTTTACGACCCGTAAAAGTTGTTATTGTTTTGATTTTGATGTCCTACCCTCCGCCGTTTCGCCAATCAGGAAGTGTCATGTAAGTCCGTGATCGGGTTGCCAGAACTCTGCGCGGCTCACTAATCTCAGGCGGCACGGTGGCTGAGTGGATAGCACTCTCGCCTCTCAGCAAGAAGGTCCTGGGTTCGAATCCCGGCCGGACCAGGGCCTTTCTGAGTGGAGTTTGCATGTTCTCCCCGTGTCTGCGTAGGTTTCCTCCGGGTACTCCGGTTTCCCCTACCACTAAAAATATGTACAATAGGTCTGGCATGCGCCTCCTGTTCGGCGACCCCCGCTCCCATCTCTGTGTGGAGTGAGAGACAAATGCCCAAAAATTAACAATTGTAAACCGCTTTGAGACTCTGGTCTGTGAAAGGCGGTATATAAATAAAGCTTACTACTACTACTTACTACTACTCAGTGGTAAAATAACATGTGGCGCAGAACTAAAAAAGGTCTTGTCATGACTCTCAAATCATTAATGACAAAACAAAGACTAAAACGAGGATTTATATCGGGATGCCTTTGAACAATTAAAACAGCTGATAAAAGTTAACGTGTGATGCAGAATTTGCTAGTTTAAGTCCGTTCTTCACAGTGACTCAAACTGTGTGAATCGGTGGTCTAGTGGTCTAAACTGTGCGCCTACGATGCAGGAACCCGGGTTCGATCCCGGGCTATGTCTTTTTGTATTTATTGCATGTTATCACATTCAATGACAGATTGCTCTAAAAACGGTAAAAGATGAAGGTCAAGACGTTTTTTTGCAGATTATAGCTTAATTGTAAAAATAATCATTTAAGACCACATGTACCCCAATTAAAATAATGTTAGTCTCTTTTTGATGTGGGACTTTTACATGTTTGTCTAAAAAATAGGGAATAAATAAAATTGAAAGGTGATATCCTCTTGAGCAAACCCTGATGTTGATACGCTGAAGAAATACATTCCAACATCCATTCTTCCTCA